CCCACATTGCTGTCTCCCTGACAGCGCCTAGCCTGAGGAGTGGGCATTTGCCCCCGGACACTGTAACTCTTGCTCTCTACCTTGCCCTCGGGGCCTCAGGCTTCAGCGCTTACCTCCATGTCTCATGCCTCTGCAGCGGGGTACTGCTCCAACCCAGGCATCCCCATTGGCACAAGGAAGGTGGGCAGCCGGTACCGCCTTGAAGACAGCGTCACCTACCACTGCAGCCGGGGGCTTACCCTGCGTGGCTCCCAGCGGCGAACATGTCAGGAAGGTGGCTCTTGGAGCGGGACGGAGCCTTCCTGCCAAGGTGACCCTTGACCTGTACCCCCAGGTCAGATCCTGATCTTGCATCCTACTGTCTTCTCTCCCCACCTCAACCCTGCTCTTTCCTCACTTCTTTTAAACCTTCCTCTAGAACTGTCTCACTTCTGAGCCTTTTCTACCCTGGAAACCCACAATCCCCTGTCTCTTTGGTCACTGTGTCCCTGACACTCCCAGACATTTGACCTCATTTCTGACTCTCCCAGACTCCTTCATGTACGACACCCCTCAAGAGGTGGCCGAAGCTTTCCTGTCTTCCCTGACGGAGACCATAGAAGGAGTCGATGCCGAGGATGGGCACAGCCCAGGTTTGAAGGCAGAGAGGGGAGGCAAGGCAGGGAACTGGGGGAAAATGGAGAAGGGACAAGATAATCATTCATGCTGGAGCCTGAGTCACTCTCCTGGCACCCAGGGGAACAACAGAAGCGGAGGATCATCCTAGACCCTTCAGGCTCCATGAACATCTACCTGGTGCTAGATGGATCAGACAGCATTGGGGCCGGCAACTTCACAGGAGCCAAAAAGTGTCTAGTCAACTTAATTGAGAAGGTGGAGTCCTCCTATCCCTGAACTTGGGGGAATGGAATCTTGCTGATCTTCCAGGACTAGCTCCCTGATCATTCCAGCCCCTCTGAACCGCAGGGCCCCAGGAAAGTCTCCAGGTCCTATTCTGTCTTCCTTCCCTTGTACTTGATTCCTCCATGAACCTCAGTGCTTGAGCCTCTTCCTAAGAGCCTCCCTGTCCCAGCAACGTTGCTGAAGTCTCCCAATCACAGTATTCTACTTTCAATGCCATGGCGCCTTGTTCTCCTCACCCACAGGTGGCAAGTTATGGTGTGAAGCCAAGATATGCTCTAGTGACATATGCCACATACCCCAGAATTTGGGTCAAAGTGTCTGACCAAGAGAGCAGCAATGCAGACTGGGTCACGAAGAAGCTCAGTGAAATCAATTATGAAGGTCAGAGGTTAGGGAATGGTGGGAGGTTCACTTTGGGGTCAGGAGGTTCAGGAGTGTTGTGTGGAGGGGGTCATGAGACTACCTTGAGGGCAACAGGGGGACCACTTTGTAGTCAAAGGTTGAACAGCAGGGTCATTGGGCAATGGAGGTTAGTGGGAACCTGCTGAGGGCTGGAAGGGCCACTTTGTGGTCAAAGGGAAGTCCATATGATGATTAACTTAAAAAGTTGAAGATGTGAGATTTCAGTTGCAGATTGGTCTCTGGGGTTAAAAGATGGCTTGGAAGACCAGGTGAGGCGATGCTCTCTTCCCTCCCCACAGACCACAAGTTGAAGTCAGGGACTAACACCAAGAGGGCCCTCCAGGCAGTGTACAGCATGATGAGTTGGCCAGAGGACATCCCTCCTGAAGGCTGGAACCGCACCCGCCATGTCATCATCCTCATGACCGATGGTCAGAAGGGACCTCTCTCCTGTCCCAGCCTCCCCACCTTCTCAGACCAGCATGTGGCCCTTAAGTCCACTTGTAACACTATACCCATGGTTGGGGCCCTGAATGTGACTCGTAACTGGCTGTTCATCTCTCCTGTGACCCTTCATAAAGAATTATTCCTAAAGCCCTGTGATCAACTACCTCTAACCCTTCCTCAACTTACTCACCCTGCCACGTGTATCACTGCCTCTAGCCAATTTATCTTATCTCCTACCCTCATGGTCCCGTCTCTTCTGCAGGATTGCACAACATGGGCGGGGACCCAATTACTGTCATTGATGAGATCCGGGACTTGTTATACATCGGCAAGGATCGTAAAAACCCGAGGGAGGATTATCTGGGTGAGTAACCTGCCTAGGACCCAGCACCCTACTTCCTCAGGGCTTGGACCGTCATCCTTCCCTTTTCTCCCTCAGATGTCTATGTGTTTGGGGTTGGACCTTTGGTGGACCAAGTGAACATCAATGCTTTGGCTTCCAAGAAAGACAATGAGCAACATGTGTTCAAAGTCAAGGATATGGAAAACCTGGAAGACGTTTTCTTCCAAATGATTGGTAGGCAGACACAAGGGAATCAAGAACGCAACTCTCCTCAGCTTCCCCTGAAATAATTCATTCTTCCTCTACCCCTGAAGCTCTAGTTGCCTGGAAAGCCTTCTTCATTCCTCCTTCTCTACCTCAGTATCACTATTCTTGTTTCCTGGCACTGTTTGCTTCTTAACCTTAGAATCACAGAGCTCTAGGCACTTCAGAGATCTTTCTATTGTCCTACATTTGACACATGTGGAAACAAAGGCCAAAGGAGGTCAAGGGGCAGCAAGCTAGCAACAGGGCTGGGCTTGAAAACAGCCAGGCCTCTGATAGCTTGATCCCAAGTTCTTTCCCTTTTCACTCCACCACAGCAGTTTTCTCCTAACACGAGGAAACAAATACCTGTGGCCTTTCCCTTTCTCCTTTTGGGCCTCTGCCCCCCACAGACTTCTACCCAAAGGCTGCTGCCGTTTGGGAATGAAGTGTTCCAAGTTTTCAGCACATTCTCCTTCTCTGCCAGATGAAAGCCAGTCTCTGAGTCTCTGTGGCATGGTTTGGGAACACAGCAAGGGTACCGATTACCACAAGCAACCATGGCAGGCCAAGATCTCAGTCACTGTAAGCACAGAATCCCAGTAGTGAGGACTTGGGGGAGGTGAGGTCAAGGTGAAATGGGAGTAGGGGAAGGGCAAAATGGCCGTAAGAGATGGTGGTTTGTGAAAGTTGAGTTTTCCCTTTCTACTGTTCTGTTCCCAGCGCCCTTCGAAGGGACATGAGAGCTGTATGGGGGCTGTGGTGTCTGAGTACTTTGTGCTGACAGCAGCACATTGTTTTACTGTGGACGACAAGGAACACTCAATCAAGGTCAGCGTGGGTAAGGATGCAACTGAAGGTCCCGGGCTGCACCTACGCCCTCCAGGCAACACCTCCCACTTTCTACAGATCCCACACTCCACTCATCTGCAATGCAGCCCCATCCCTTGCACCCCAGACCAGTCAGGGATGGGGAAGACTTGAAGTTAGGAATGACATGGGGCCAGAGGCAAGAAGCTGCCCACAAAGAGGTGGTACCTATTCTCCTACTTCAAGGGAAGAAGCGGGACCTGGAGATAGAAAAAGTCCTATTTCACCCCGACTACAACATTAGCGGGAAAAAAGAAGCAGGAATTCCTGAATTTTATGACTATGACGTTGCCCTGATCAAGCTCAAGAATAAGTTGAATTATGACCCGACTATCAGGTGAGAGCATCCAGATCCCTGAGGAAAGGCTGGGAAAGGCTGGAGGACTGGGGTGAGGAGCAGGCCTAGTTTGCTGTTCTTTCTCCATCCTTTATAGGCCCATTTGTCTCCCCTGCACCGAGGGAACAACTCGAGCTTTGAGGCTTCCTCCAACTACCACTTGCCAGCAACAGAGTAAGACATACTAGGGGGGAGGATAAGGATGAGATCCCGAGACAAGTGAGGCATGAGAGGGAGATGCAATAGGAAGAGACGATGCCTGGCCCAGAACCTAGCACTAGGAAGGGCTTAGGGGACATCTGCTGAGTGACAAAGTCAATAGGGAGATGACAGTGGTGGGAGCAGCTGAAGTGATGCAGTCTATTTGTCCAGAGGAAGAGCTGCTCCCTGCACAGGATATCAAAGCTCTGTTTGTGTCTGAGGAGGAGAAGAAGCTGACTCGGAAGGAGGTCTACATCAAGAATGGGGATAAGGTGAGAAATGGGCATCCTAAGGAGGCACTCTAGGCCCTAATCCTTCCTAAGCCACCTCTGTTCATTACCTTTCTCCATGCTTCCCACCTCCCCTACAGAAAGGCAGCTGTGAGAGAGATGCTCAATATGCCCCAGGCTATGACAAAGTCAAGGACATCTCGGAGGTGGTCACCCCTCGGTTCCTTTGTACTGGAGGAGTGAGTCCCTATGCTGACCCCAATACTTGCAGAGGTGAGAGAACGCTCTCTGGTTGTGCTCCAAGTGCCCGAGGGCCAAGAGTCCTTTTCCCTACAGCTTCTCCTCTCCTTGCAGGTGATTCTGGCGGCCCCTTGATAGTTCACAAGAGAAGTCGTTTTATTCAAGTGAGTCCTCCCTTTCCTATCTGGGGAGATGCCAAGTGGTCAGCATGGGCCCCAAAGCAGGAAAGCACAATGCATGTGGCTAGTAATTCGAGGTGGGCAGAGCCTGCCTCACTTTAGGACTGCATGTCTGGCCTGTGTGTGTCAAGAATGAGGCTGAGCTGGGTCCCTAGCCTGATTCCTTTAGGTCAGCTAAGACACAATCAGGAACAGTCATGCTTCCAGGATTAGGAATTCTATGAATGATCCATGGCACCCCACTGCCTCTGCAGGTTGGTGTCATCAGCTGGGGAGTAGTGGATGTCTGCAAAAACCAGAAGCGGCAAAAGCAGGTACCTGCTCACGCCCGAGACTTTCACGTCAACCTCTTCCAAGTGCTGCCCTGGCTGAAGGAGAAACTCCAAGATGAGGATTTGGGTTTTCTCTAAGGGGTTTCCTGCTGGACAGGGGCGCGGGATTGAATTAAAACAGCTGCGACAACACTTGTGTTCCAGATCCTTTTGGGGCAAGGGAGTGGGGAACGGGCACTGGCCATGTTGTTACACTGAGATCAAACCTGACACCCATTTTTAAAGGCTTAACCCCAATCCCAAGTGCTGAAAAACCAGAGGCTGAGGGAGATATGTAAGCTTCCACCTCAGTGTTTTACTGAGACCAGCATTGGGGCATTTGAGGCACAAGGAATCCAGCTCTGTTCCCTAGAAGCCATCCACAAGGTTTTCCTTGTAGACGTCATCACTGTAGACAATCTGGGTCCTCTTGTCCCGGTGGCAACCCTTAGGGCTGTTCTGGACAGCTAGGGAGGGAGGAGAGGAACAGTTAAGGTCTAAAGGAGATCATAGATCAGACCCTGAGGCTGACTCCTGACCACCTCAGTCCTGGCTGCTGGCCCCTGGAAACCCAGTTTCCACGCTGCCCTCTGGTGGCCAGGATGGCCTGTCTTCCTTAGCTCCTTTGTGCCAACCCATGGCCAAGGAGAGTGTAAGTGGACATTTTGATGAATGTTTTGTTCTTAGAAAAATCCCAAATGTCATTGTTGAGATATATGAATGATATTAACCCACTACTTATAGTCAGTATGTCAGAAGCTAAAAACTAGAAAACCTCTGTAGCCCTTTATTGACATGCTGGTCAACTCTAGTTCCTTTCTTTTGCCTGAAAGGCCACTGTTGCTCTGAGTCCTTCTTTCTGCTCACTCCTTTCCCAGGAAAATCTACTTTCAGGTAAATGGGTTACTCATACTAAGGAATGCTACTAGCTCCACCAGAACTCATCCAGCATGTAGCTTTGGCCCTCACCATTCTCTCTCAAGCCTCTAGCTGTTTCTTCCCCTTCCTCTTTTCCTCCCTCCACCAGACATGTTACTCTCTTCACCCCATCCAAAGATTCCATCCCCACCACCCTTGACCTAGAGAGAATCTCTCCCACCCACTTCTCATCCTGTGATCTCTGTACCTTGACACTGCTGGCTACTCCCTCTTTCTCAAAGCATGTGTCCTTTCGCTTCAGTGGCCCAGGCCCCTCTGGTGCTGCTCCCAGCCCTCTGACCCCTCCTCCTGTCTCCTTTGCTAACGTTAGGCTCAACGTTAGCCTAACGTGTCAGGAGAGCTGGAGACACGTGGGGCGTAAGGTGGACAGTCCTGTTTCCTAACATAGTCCCTGAGTATTCCTCAAGTCTAGTCCTGGGTCGTTTTTTTTCTCCGAAATCAGTCTCCCTCATGATCGGGGAGCCACCCTGTGATGCAGATGACTTAATCTATGTTTTCATTCCTTACCTCACACCTGAGTTCCAGACCCCTAATTTCAAATACTTACGAAATTCACTCTACTCCATCTCAAAATGAACAAGCCCCATGAGACACTCATCTTTCTCACCAATCTCACTCCAGCTCCCATTTTCTTCCCTGTTCCAGTCGCTGCTTTGGAAGCTGTTCTCAATCCTTTTCTCTCCTTTCTTTACCTCTAACTAACAGATGATCTGAAATTTTCCTTCCCATTCCCACAGCCTCTGCACACACTCTGACCTCGATAATCTCTAGGAAACCCAAGGATGTGTGGGGGAACCAAAAGGAGTGTGCTGTAGGGGAGAGGACGGGAAAGAAAATCCCATTCTTACCGAGGGAGCCCCAGACAGACTTGCCAGTAGCGGCATCCAGCATGGGCTGTTTCCGGGCTATGTTGACTTTGAGCTGTACAGACTCCACCTGGGTCCCGTTGAGCTAAAGCAGAAGAGGGGAGGCAGAGGATGGGGAGGAAAACATTACAGATACACCAAAGAAGCTATTCCAGGAGTTGCTATCCTAGGAGTAGACTGAATAAGGAATCTGAGAATGTAAGTTTTTCTGTGTGAATAGGGAGAGACTTTATCAAGAGGAACCAACTTCTTCCTGGCATCTAGTATTTTGATGAGAACACATGAGAACAGCAGAGGCGATGGGAAGAACAGATTTGCGAAGTTCCAACCTCAGCAACGGCCTGATCTGCTGACTCCATCTTTTCATAGGTGACGAAGGCACAGCTGGGATAAGAAAAAACAGGGTCAGTGGAGAGCCAAGGGGCTCTTCTGGACCCAACCAAACCCAGCGATCACAGGCGGCTGCCGGGAGGGCAGCTTCCTCCCTCAAGTCTCACACCCCAGGATTCGCCCAGGACTTCTCATCATGCCCTGTCGTCATCCTTACTTTCTGGGTGGGTCCATGGAGAGGTCAATGATGTTTCCAAAAGGAGAGAAGGCCCCACGGAGAAGGGTAGGCGTCATGTCTTCTCCGTATACATAGAGAGTATTCCCTTTCCTAGGGGCTCGCCGTTCAGGGAAGGAGTCCGACCCTTTGGGAGCAGGAATCACAGTCACAAGACATGGTCCATCCCACACTTCACTTAGTAGGACCCACATAAACCTCAGTTAAGGTCACCTTGACCTCCAGCCAAGATCACTCACTGCGGAAAGGACCCTCTCGGTCTCGGTCTCGATCCCGCTCCCGATCCCTGTCCCGTTCCCGGTCTCGATCTCGATCTCGATCTCGATCCCGATCCCGATCCCGATCCCTGTCCCGCTCTCGGTCTCTGTCTCGATCTCGCTCCCGATCTCGGTCTCTGTCCCGGTTCCTCTCATGGCTGCGGTCCCGGCTGCGGCTTCGGGGAGGGGAGGCTGAGGAGTGGGCACCACTGCGTTCTTCATAGCCCCAGTCAAAGCTTCGAGGGGGACCATCACCAGCCCCTGGGCCCTCTGCCTCTTCTCCATCTGGCCCTAGTTCTCGAAGTCGATCACTAGAAGACACAAAGCTGGGGAGATGCAGACTGAAGATCAAAGGGGGGTTTTACCTTCTCCCCTTGGACCCTGTGGAGACTCAATATTCCCTCAATAGCACAGCTTCTACAGCCCAAACCTCCCAAGGACTCAGGCAATCAACCCCGCCAAGTGGGCCCAGTCTTATCTCTACTCTCTAACCTCTCATACAGAGATTTCCTCTGGGGACGTCTAGATGACTGTAAAAGAGACCAAGAACAGTTAAGATGATTCCCAGTTGCTAACATGTAGTCCAAAATAAGTTAGTTTCTCATGTTCCTCCATCCCCAACCCCTCAGGGACAGAAATTAGAAGCCTTTACCTCTTGCAGGTCATCATCAGCAGATATGCTCCTCTGGAACGGCTGGAAAGTGGGGACTGGTCCCTTCTCGGGGTCCTGGAGAGGGGAGAGACCTACCTCAGTGTGGAGCAGGAGGCTGCCCAACCATGGAACAGAGATGTTCCTCTTCCCTCACCCTCTTCTAGATCTCCTCTGATCTCTTCTTTCCTTTTAACACTATATACATTTCTTATTTGACTATGTGGTTTTATTTATTTGTTTTTATTTTTTGAGACAGGGTCTTGCTCTGTTGTCCAGGTTGGAGTGCAATGGTGCTATCATAGCTTGCTGCAGCCTTGACCTCCCAGGCTCAAGCAATCCTCCTACCTTAGCCTCCCTAGTAGCTGAGACTAGAGATGCGCTCTACCATGCTTGGCTAATTTCTGTTTTGTTTTTTTTTTTTTTTTTTTGTAGAGATAGGGTTTCACTATGTTGCCAGGGCTGGTCTCAAATTCCTGGGCTCAAGCAATCCTCCTACCTTGGCCTCCTAAAGTGCTCTAATTATAGGAATGAGCCACTGCCACACCTGCCATTGCAGCTTTTTGGTTTTGTTTTGAGATAGAGTCTTGCTCTGTCGCCCAGGGTGGAGTACAGTGGTGCGATCTCCACTCACTGCAACCTGTGCCTCCTGGGTTCAAGCAATTCTCTGGCCTCAGACTCCTCAGTAACTGGGACTATAGGCGTGCATCACCATGCCCTGCGAATTTTTGTTATGTTTAGTAGAGACGGGTTTCACCATGTTGGCCAGGTTGGTCTCAAACTCCTAACCTCAAGTGATCTGCCCACCTTGGCCTCCCAAAGTGCTGGGATTATAGGCATGAGCCACCACGCCTGGCTGATACTTTTTATAAGTGACTTGATATGTTATATATTCAGTTTATTTCAACCTCTCTTGAATCTGATAACATTTTCTGCCCTTTCCATCCCTTAGAGCGACATATTCCAAGAGCTCCAATCCAAAGTGGATTAGAACTACAAAATTTGTAAAATGGAGAATTCAGGAGTCATCTAGTTTTTTCATTTAATATTTGAGAGGCAAAACTCAGAATGGTACAGCAATTTGCCAGTGCTCGAGTATGCATATTTTTCCCCAAACCCATCTACATTCCAACTTGGAGGGATGCCCTCTAAACAATCCTTCTGTTTGTGCTCACCTTTAACTTCCCCTCAAGGGTTCGAGAACGCTTGAAGCCTGAGTTCTTGGTCTCAGCCTTGATGGCACTGATGGCTCCTGATTTCACCAGCTGCTTTGCCTGCTCTGTTGCTGTGGCTGTGTCCACGACAGGCTGCTCTGATAGTGCTGGAGTGATAAGGGGAAGAGGCATTATGTTGACCAGGCCATGATGAAGGTCAGCCCCATGCTGCCCACTTCCAGTCCATCCCCATTTCCCCTGTCACTCACAGCGTTTGACACCGCCTTGGCTGGTTGTGCTGCTGCTACTTTGCTTCTTCAGAGCCAGCAATGCCTTTTTCTGGGAACAAGGGTGAGAGGAGAGAGGTCAGTGAGGGCCAGCCCCTAGCCGGTTCCTCTCCCAAGACCCCTGGGCACATCACTCCAGGGACCATCTTTCTTGATGTCCTTAGAGTGGTGCATTGATGTGCTCTGCCTCTTGCCTCTGGTCCCCTAGATCATGAATGATGCCGGAAATTCCTAATCTAACCAAACCACGGAACCCAGAGGTTTTCCAGAGTGTTACATTTTTGAGGTTGAAGACAAAGAATTTGATCATGGACTAGAATCCTAGGATATAAGCTGCAAGTAAGTATAAGTCTATGTGCCTTTCCTGGAGGCTTCATCCATCTATTTCCTGCATATTGAATAAGGCCCAGACATGACTTTGTAACAGGGATATCCAGGAGGATAAAGCATTGTTTCTACCCTCAAGAAGCTTATAGTCTGAGAAATAAAAATAAACTGAGTGAGTTAGCAACGCGGTAAGAGGTGCAGATTATTCATAGCTGAAAGCTAGTAAGATTTTCTGATGTTTAATGGCTATTAAACTAGGCCCTCCCCCGTATCTCTGCACGACACAGAGAGAAGAAGGGTATTTTAGAAAAAGAAGACAGGATGGCAAACATGCAGCGGTAAGAACGCTTTGGGAATGCATGTTTTGGGAGTAGTGAATAGTTCTACTTTACTAGACAAGGCTGCCAAACTAAGGTTTTGGGGCTTTGTTATATAGACAATGTGAAGCCATTTATGGTTTTTGAGAAACAGAGGGAGCAGAATTTTGTGTTTTCAATGGATCGTTTGACCAAGAGTGAAGAAGTCTGTTAAAAAAAAAAAAAAGACTGAGAAATTTGTTGAGAGACCATTACAATCGCTCATGTAAATGTCAATAAAGCCCTGCTCGGGGGAATACACAATGAAGAATAAACAGGAAAAATTGCTTCAAAAGAAAAAACAAGAAGACTTGGCAAACGCTTGACTATGCAAATAGCGGAGAAGTCAGAGATGAGATTTTGAGTCCAAACGCGTGGCAGAATTGGTGTAGTCAATCTTACTTGGAAGATCAAGAATAGAAAGATGATAGCTCCAACTTTGGGTATCTGAAGTTTATCAGTATGACACTGGATAGAACTGGAAAAACAAACTTGGGGATCATCAGCCCTTAGGTGGTACTAAAAGCCATTGGAAAGGAAGACAATCCCATGGCCGATTGCATAGAAAAGACAGAAGGTCCACACCAGGGCTTGGGAAAGCCCACCTCTCGAAGCTACACTGTGAGGTGGGTGATATATCTCTAGATACGGGCCAGAAAAACTTTCCCATTCGCTCACACTCACCCCAGATCTTCTCAGAGTGCACAGTCTGTGAAAGGTTAGGCCATGTCCACACACAGTCCCTCACCTTTTTCTTGAGTTTGTTGAATTTCTTCTGCAGAGCCTCCTCTTCCTCGCTCAGTCCGGGGGGTATCACCAACATGGTGGCTCCTGGTTCAGGGGCAGGGCCCAAGACATCTTTCTCCCCTGTTACCACCCGGGGTTCACACGCCGTCCACACTGTACCCAACTCCACCCCTTCAGGTCTGCCTACTCTTGCCTTTGGCTTTCCCTACTCCTTGCTTAAACCAGGATGCTGTCCAAGCTCCCGCTGGTCGGGATCATCCAGCATTCCCTCCTGTCTCCAGGGATCACAGACACCAGCACCTCGAGGAACCATGTGGCTCAGGGAGGGACAAACACCCACTCCGTCGGCAAGACGATGGCACCCGACCCCCCTACCCTCGCTGGGGTAAGGACAGCCGCGGGGTTCGAACGGCAGAGAAGGCGGTGGAGCCAGCGTAGCGCCCTCAGAGCAACTCAAAGAGGAAGAAGAGAGAAAGCGCTATGAAAAAAGGGGCCGAAGAGTGAGAAGCAGAGGGCCTTACCTGAGGGGGCGGCAACCGCGGGCCCCACGGTCTCCGGCCGCGCCCGCGCTGGCCGCTGATAGCGGGCTCACAACGATGACGTAGCGAAGGGCGGAAAACGCGGTAACCAAGGCGGCCCCAGGCACGCACTTCCGCCCGGCCTTCCACCGGTCCAGGTCTGCCCCTCCGCAGCGATAGTTCACGCTCTCGGCGGGGCCGTGCCGGAAGTTGTCTCTACTTCCGCCCGTTCCGGGGCGGGGCTTACCTCGCAGGGACTGCTTGCAGCATTTCCGGGCTGCTCGGCAGCCGCTGTGGCTCCAGAATGATGGAGACAGAGCGACTCGGTGAGGGGGAGGGGAGTGAAATGGCACGGAGTAGCAGACATGGAATGACCTTTGACCCCTTACTTTTGACTTTTCCCCGTAGTGCTACCTCCTCCAGATCCCCTGGACCTACCCCTTCGGGCCGTGGAGCTCGGATGCACAGGTCGCTGGGAGCTGCTTAACTTGCCTGGAGCTCCGGAGAGCAGCGTGAGTGACTTTTGACCCTAACCTTTGACCCTCATTGAGTCCAAACCTCCTTCACCCTCCTCACAGTGGGATCTAGCTTAACCTTGTTCATCTGTGCTTGTACTGCTGTCCATCCCAGCCTGAACGGGTGTTGGACAGCTTCCAGCCCAGTGTACCTGCAGTCCATGTGAAGACAGCAGAGAGTCCTGGGGATATTTTTGCTTTCAGAGCTGCGCTTTCTCCATGGAGCTCCCTTCTGTCTCCAAGCACCAGGGCACTTGGTGACTGAGATGCTAGGCTTTGAGCCTCCAACTCTTCATCCTTAGGTCTGTGACCCCTTTTTCTAAAATCAGTGAGTCTCAAATTTCATGTGCTTCATGACTAGCAAGGGAGCTTTTTAAAAATGCAGATTCCTAGGTCCAGCCTCCATGTTTCTGAAATCCAAAATCTGCCCCAGGTAATTCAGTAGCGGGTAGTTTTTGGCCAAGCCTGATTGTCCTAGTCTGTTTGACACATCTACCATTTCTGATCTGAACACAAATCCCATCACCTCTTTTGTCTGCATTTTACTCTTTTTCCTTACCTAATGCCTCTCATCTTGCCCTTGTTTCAGCTTCCCCATGGCCTCCCTCCCTGTGCCCCAGATCTGCAGCAAGAAGCAGAACAGTTGTTTCTGTCATCCCCAGCCTGGCTGCCTCTGCATGGTGTGGAGCACTCAGCCCGGTGAGGAGTCTGGAGGGGCTTAGACTAGGGTGATGGGTTCCTGAAGGAAGCTGGGGCAGAGGAAGAAAAAAGACCCAAAAGTTACTTTTTTTTCTCTCCAGAAAATGGCAAAGGAAGATGGATCCCTGGTCTCTTTTGGCTGTCCTGGGAGCTCCAGTCCCATCTGACCTACAGGCCCAAAGACACCCAACCACAGGCCAGATACTGGGTTACAAAGAGGTAGGAGGTCAGGGGTCATAAGAAACAGAGTTGGGGAGAAGGGGAGGTGATCAGAGACAAGCTCAGCCTCATTGGGGCTCTGATCTCTTGCTTTAGGTCTTGCTGGAGAACACAAATCTCTCGGCCACAACCTCCTTGTCTCTTCGCCGGCCTCCAGGGCCAGCCTCCCAGTCCTTATGGGGAAATCCAACTCAGTATCCCTTCTGGCCAGGTGACTCTTGTGGAGATGGGATGGTAGAAGAGGGTGTCCTTAATCTCCAGGGAAGGGTTCCCCACCTATCTCATATTATCCTAATCCCATGAATCCCTGTCTGTCCTGTCTCTTCCCAGGGGGGATGGATGAACCCACCATAACAGATCTGAACACATGGGAGGAGGCTGAGGAGGAGATAGACTTTGAGAAAGGTAAGGTAGGGCTCTGAGTCTGAGCCCTGAGGAGGAAGAGCCCACGCTATCACTGGGCTACTACTAGCCCTCCCATGCCTCTGAGAAAATTAGAAAAAGATATCCTGTCCATAACAACCTTTACTGTCATCTGTTGGGAAAGTGTCATAGCAAACATCCCCATCTACAGCATCTGTCCTGTAAATGATATCTTTTAGGTTTATATAATGTACACAATTTGTTCACCAGTGTGCAGTGACCCTGATTCCATGTCCCTGTCCTACAGATCTTCTTACTGTTCCACCTGGTTTCAAGAAAGGCATGGACTTTGCACCAAAAGGTTCGTTTTGGTTTTTGAGTGGGGTGTAGGAGAAATCATGTCTTTCTCCTAAGGAACAGAGATGTCAGCATGACGAGGTTGACCTTGTTGCGTTGCTTCTCAGATCGTCCAACTCCAGCTCCTGGACTACTAAGCCTTAGCTATCTGTTGGAGCCTCTGGATTTGGGTGGGGGTGACGAGGATGAGAATGAGGCAGTGGGACAGCCAGGAGGTTCCAGAAGGGACGCTGTTTCAGCCTCTCCCTGCAGTACTCCCCTGGCCCGAGCAAGCAGTTTGGAGGACCTAGTGTTGAAGGTTGGTGGTTCTGCATAGTGGAGGCAAGAAAGAGCCTTGCCACCAGGATGTGGGCTGGCTAGGATGGGTCTGAGGGGAAGAAAGGGACATCTTTTGGGAGGAGTGGTAATCGAGAGCCCTCTGGTTGTATCTTTGTCACCCCTACCCCTGACTCTTCCAGGAAGCGTCCACAGCTGTATCCGCCCCAGAAGCCCCAGAGCCTCCACCTCAGGAGCAGTGGGCCATACCTGTGGATGCCACCTCCCCCGTTGGTGATTTCTATCGCCTCATTCCCCAGCCAGCCTTCCAGGTACTTTGGCCCCATCTTCACATGCTCCTCTACCTCTTGCTGGGTCACACTCCCAGCTGACCCCTTGTCTCCTCTGTCCGCCAGAGGTCATATCCATCCCAGGCCAGTCTTGGTCCTTAGTCCTAGCCTCGGCTGGCTCTGGCCTTCATCCCCCTGCCCTGTGTGCTCCATGAGCAGGAGGCAGGAAGGCCCTGCACCTTTCTTCAGCTCCTATCTATTTCTCTCTCCCATAGTGGGCATTTGAGCCAGATGTGTTTCAGAAACAGGCCATCCTGCACTTGGAGCGGCATGACTCTGTCTTTGTTGCAGCTCACACATCTGCAGGAAAAACAGTTGTGGCTGAATATGCCATTGCCCTGGCCCAGAAACACATGACACGGTACGAGTTGCTTCGCCAACCTCCCCCTTCACCAGCCAGCCCCATTTTCTCCTGCAGCCTTTGAAAATCCCATCTCTTCCCCCACCTCTCTAGCTCATCCTTTAAGTGAGAGGTTCAGGGGTGAGACTGAGACAAGAGCTCAGAGAGAAACAAAAAGGCATGGTGGGGAGAAAGGTTAGAAGAATGACCTGGGTTAGTTTAGGAAGGGGTTGGGGACAGAATTTTTCTGAGGTTATATCATGAAAGAGAATGTAGGGCAGTTTGGGTGAAGAAGTAGAGCAACTAAGCTTCTGGGGCATGCTTCTGCGAGAGCTCCATGTGGGAGAGGAGGCGTGGGCCATGAGTCTGCAGAGGGACTGGCTAACTTCATGTTCTTTCCTCAGCACCATCTACACTTCGCCCATCAAGGCCCTGAGCAACCAGAAGTTCCGGGACTTCCGAAACACGTTTGGGGATGTGGGGTTGCTCACTGGGGATGTGCAGCTGCACCCGGAGGCCTCCTGCCTCATCATGACCACAGAGATCCTTCGGTGAGAGATGGACACTCAATACAGGGGAGTTTTGGCTGGGAAGATGTGGCTGTTGTGGAGAGTGTGCTGTCTGAAGAGGCGATGGAGACGAGCCACTGGGGAGTCAATCCTTGGCCTCTTCTCCCCAGCTCCATGCTGTACAGTGGCTCAGATGTTATTCGGGACCTGGAGTGGGTCATCTTTGATGAGGTTCACTATATCAACGATGCCGAGGTAAGGGCCTTGGGCTCCGCAGATGCCGGCAGTCCTTTCCTTTGGGACCAGTTGAACGGCTCCCTTATTCTACACACTCAGGGCACCTTCCTGCTTTCTTTACCCCCATACGGAATCCCGTGCCTCTTTAGGGGCAGAAGGGCAGCCCCTGCCCTCCTGTGACCTCTCTTCCCTCTCTGTGCCCAGCGTGGGGTCGTGTGGGAGGAGGTGCTCATCATGCTCCCTGACCACGTTTCTATCATCCTTCTGAGTGCCACCGTCCCCAACGCCCTTGAGTTTGCTGACTGGATTGGGTGAGACGTGTGTCCTGGGTTGCCTGGTTGATGGGGGCTACAGTACTCCTTGATTGGAGTGGGGGGACTAAGTCTACCACAGCAAGGAGAGTGGTCAGGCCTTAGGGGTGATGCTGGGGAACATGTCCCACCTGGTGGCTGTGGGATCCCCTTTGGGTCCAGATTACTTTGCATGTTGAAATGGAATGGGATGTTGGGGGATAGCCTTCCATTTTGGGTCTCAGGAAAGACTGGGTAAAGTTGGAGGGGTAGGGAAGGGGGTGGGGATGTGGGTTCCTTCCCACACTCCCATCCCTGACTTGCTACCCTCTCCTTCCTTCAGGCGACTGAAGCGTCGTCAGATCTATGTGATTAGCACTGTAACCCGCCCCGTGCCCCTGGAGCACTATCTTTTCACAGGGAACAGCTCCAAGACCCAGGGGGAGCTCTTTTTGTTGCTGGACTCTCGAGGAGCCTTCCATACAAAAGGGTGAGCCCCGAGATGGGGGAAAGAGTTAGGGCTGGGCCCCTAGCTGGACATGACGGCTACCCCTCCCTGTGCCCCAGGTACTATGCAGCTGTGGAGGCCAAGAAGGAGAGAATGAGCAAACATGCCCAGACCTTTGGGGCCAAGCAGCCCACACATCAGGGGGGCCCTGCACAGGTGAGAACTGGGAGGGTTTTGTACCTGCCAGCACCCATTTTTCCTCCCATCTTTTTTTTTCGTTGTTCCCCAGGGGTTTTGACTTGAACTTTGAGCACTGCCCCAGTTAACACTAGCTCACCTCTCGTTGGTTCAGGAACTCAACCTCTGCCCCTTCCCCTTCCTTCTCCAGGACCGCGGAGTGTACCTGTCCCTCCTGGCCTCCCTCCGCACACGGGCCCAGTTGCCTGTGGTGGTGTTCACCTTCTCCCGGGGCCGCTGTGATGAGCAGGCCTCAGGCCTCACCTCCCTTGACCTCACCACCAGTTCAGAGAAGAGTGAGATCCACCT